CCACTCTCCTCCCGGGCTGAGATCAAGACAGCAGCAGAGGCTTCTGTGCTCTGAGACTGGGGTGTGAGGGAGGGGAGGGGCGTGCACCTGGCCCAAAAGTAACAAACGTGGGGAGGCCAAGCTGCGAGGGCCTTCGCTCCCCTGTAGCCTGGCTGTTGGTCCACTCTGACCTTAAGGAGCCCCCTCACCCCAAGCTGTACCCCGAACCTCACTGGTGCCGGACTCTGGCATCTGAGTCACTGTTGCGGCCTCGCTCTCTGATCCACTGTCCTCGGACTGGACTCTCCTGGCCTGCTCCCTCGGCTGCCTCTGTGTTCGTAACAGTTCTATTTTCCCACTGAATCAATCAAGCGGTCGCTGAGAAGACCTGGTTTGTCCTCTCAATCAGATTCCGCAGTCAGCCGACACTGGTCGCCTAGAGGCCCACAGCAGCAAGGTGACTTCCATACAGCTCTGCTTTGCATGAGGGCCACACTGGGCTGAGCGGGCTGAGGCTCTGAGCCCTGTGCTTCATGTATGTGCGCGTGTCCCTGTCTTTCTCGGCCTCTCTATTGGCCTCTGTCCACCTGGCTGTCTGGCTTCTGGCTGCCTGGGGTTTGGCTGACATTTTCTCTGGCAAGGAGCCCACATCTGAGGTGCAGACCACCTCCTTTGGGGTCCAGGGCCCTCGGCCAGCCTCACCTCTCTGCTCCAGAAGTTTCACCCTCAAATCTTCTACCCTGATTGGCTGATTAGAGCCGGGTGCCCGGAGTCAGACAGACCTGTTTCCATCCGGCTCCACCACTTGGTGAGGATCTTATGCAAGTCTCTTAATCTTTTGAGCCTTAATTTCCTCACTTTGCAAAATGTAGCTCATGCCCACCTGGAAGGGCTATTGTGAAGAATTGATGAAGTAACACGTGAAAAACCTGCAGCACCCAACGTGGGGAGCGTCGTGGGGGCCCCACTCACATCAGTAAAAATCTTGGAGAGGTCAGGTCTGCTTTGCATGTTTCTTTAGACTCCCAACCTGGCTTAGGACTTGCTCTCTGTTGTTATCCTCATCATCTATATTGCCTTTATTAAATAATGACCTAAAACCTACATGTGTTGTAATGCGCGCTTCCCCTGGCCGAGGGGATTAACCTTATTAGTAGTAATCTGAATGGTGCTGCTGATGACAGTAATAATCGCCTGCTTCCACAGCCCTTCCAGAAACACAAAGTGCCTTAGAGAAATGGGACTGATCATTCGAGATTGAGTTATGACCTCTTTTGATTTATGATCTTCGGTTCCGATGTGGGTCATGGGGGCTGAAGGGGCTGTACAGAGCCAGTGCGTGGAGCCTCCCTCAGAGGCCGCGTGGGACTTGCCCCACTGAGCATGCATAGAGTGCACACGGGGTTAAGGTTCAATGCCCAGGACAGGTCTCAGGCACGAAGGCGGAACTGAAGCCCGCTCTTCCCTGGGGCACCCAGGGGCTCAGGCAGAAAAGAAAGCACTTGTGGGTGGGTGTTTGGCAGGACTTCCCAACAGCAAGGCTTTCCACACCCAGAGCGCAAGCTTCTTTGAGAGCAGAGCACCTGCCAGGGTGCCCACAAACCTGGGGGCACTGGGGGAGGAGGCTGTTCCCCGCCGCTGACCGCACTTTGGGTTTCCTTTTCAGGCTGCCTCGGTGGCCAAATCCCATGAACATGGAGCCAAGGTCTCCCTGCTCTTTCACTTAGTTGTGCAGCCACTCTGGTGGGAGGTTTTGCTGCATTCAGTCTTAGGCCCTCAGCCTGTGCTGGGCACAGGGCAAGTCCGGGCTGGTAGGAGGCAGGTGTTTGTCATCTTCTTGCAGGATCCTAAATCTAGGCTGGGGGGCCAGGATTTAGCTCAGTGGTTCTGCCGCCTGCCTCACAAGCGCAAGGTCCCCAGTTCGATCTCCGGTACCAAAAATAAAAAACCAACCCCAACTAAATCTACACTGAGAAGCAGCATCAGATCCAGCAGGCAGCAGGAATTCTATCAGCTTAGTCCCGGAACATTCCTGCCCAGAAACCTCTCCCCTCGGCGCACACTCCTTCATTTCCCAGCCCACCACGTTCAGAGGCTGAGGCAGAGCGCTCCCGAGCTGGCTGAGGTTACACTAAGGAGCTTTCTACCGGGTGGGCCTGAAGGAGGGCGAGACAGGAGAGGGCCCTCTGCTTCAGGAGAGCAGGGAAGGTGGATTCCAGAGGACAGCTGTCAGTTTAGGCTTCTTGCTCTCTCTCTCTCTCTGTTTCTTCTTCATGGTGCTGTGGCTAGAACTCAGGGTCCAGAGGCCCATGCCTGTAATCCTACCACTTGGGAGGCTGAGGCAGAAGAATTGCTGCAAGTTTGAGGTCAGCCTGGGCTACATAGTGAGTTCAAGGCCAGCCTGAACCACATAGCGAGACCCTGTCTCAAAACAAACAGACAAAAAAAGAACCCAGGGCCACGGGAAGACTAGGCCAGTGCTCTAATCCTCCATCACTGAGCTACTCTCCACCCCAGCTGTTGGTTTAGGAACTGCAATTTTGCGTGGAGCCGTACTTTCCAGAGATGCTCTTGGCCCAGGCCAAACGGGACTCCAGTGGCCTGTCAGGTTCACTGACCTCATGGCGCAGAGCAGGCCCGGGGAGGAGAGGATCAGCAAGAGGCCACAGGACCTTTTGGTGCTGGGAGTGGGAAGAGTCAGGAGGCTCCTACAAGCTGAGGTGTTGGTGGGGCTTTAATTTCTAACGCCTATGGCTTTTTTTCCCTGTAGCCCAGGGGTTCTTACCATGCAAAGTATGGCCCAAGGAGCAGTAGCAGCAGCGTCTTTAGAGCTTGTTAGAATGGAGAGTCTCGGGTCCACCCACTCCACCTGAATCCAAATCTGCATTTAAAGAGACTCTGGATGATCACTGTGCACATTGGATTAGAGGAGCCCTGGATGATTTTTGGTTTGTTTTGGTTTGCTTGCTTTGAGTCAGGGTCTCTTTAGGCAGTCCAGCCTTGAACTTGCTGTGTAGCCCAGGCCAGCCTCAGATTTGTGATCTTCCTGCCTCAGCCTCCTAAATCCTGGGATCACAGGCTTGTGCCACCACGCCAAGCCAGCAGGTGACTTTCTAAAATGGGTGCTCCAGACACAGCGCCTCGTGTCCTCCACACACAAGAGCCTCCCGAATCCCTGCTGAGAACAGTGCTTCCCTCCTGCCAGCTGCCCTGGAGAGGACAGCCTGGTGCCTGCGCCTGCTGCTGCATGGTCCTACGCAGCCAAGGATCTCCCAGCCCAAGGGCACCTGAGTCCCGTGTCCTCCTAGCAGCCTCTGTTGTTGCTTCCCATGGTGACCGTGGAAAGCAACCTCTCACCCCAGCATCCTCTCTTCCACTTGAGGGTTTTACTGCTCCTTCTGTTGCATCAAGCAAGTCTACCTCAGTGGGGCTCCGTGCAACGCCCTTCCCTGCTCCCCGGGACAGAAACCGCAGGTCCCCTCTGCCTTGCCTAGGGTTCATTAACTGAACGAATACTTCCAGAGCACCTGGGGGTACAAGGCCAGTGCCAGGGGACTCCGGGTGCCAGCAGGAGCAAGATGCCAGTGCTGCTGCCCTGGAGCTGACTTGTTAGTGGGAGCCACAGTCAGAGTGACACCAGCGATGAGCTCATCGCTGTTCAATTACTCTGCCAGCCATCATTTGTGAAGCACCTCCTGCCACATTTCCTCCAAAGTAAGGCCAGGTCTTATATTAGTTTTTGCTCCAAAAGATGCAATAGGGGGCCGGGAATGTAGCTCAGTGGTTCCGCCGCCTGCCTCACGAGTGCAAGGTCCTGAGTTCGATCCCCGGTATGAAGGAAAAAAAAAAAGCATGACAGTCCACACAAAATCGACAGAAAGTTACAAGCACCAAAATTCAGAAAACACTTCTTTATTTGACACGAGGGCCTTAAGTACGTCCAATACACATGACGTATGGAGTATGAAGATGCCTGTTAGACACTGCCATGTCTCCTCATTGTCAAGTGCACACGCTACTCATGCATTGTGTCCGTGCTCCCACTGGTCACCTGGCAGTAAGTCTCAAGTTCATCTGTTTGAATGGGTGTTTTTAAGTATTTTACAAATACTTAACTGTAATCTAGGCTATCATTTTAAGTATTAATGTCAATATTATTTATTTATATTATATTATATTTATATTAAATTATATATTGATAATATTCTTTTAATGCATCCATCGTGTGTTGCAATGCACATCCTAAATGCACCCACGTGGCTGAATGTCTTCTCTTTCTTGGAGGCAGGATCTCACTACGTAGCCCAGGCTGGCCTCAAACTCAGGGCAATCTTCCTGCCTGAGCCAAGTGCTGGGATTACAGGTGTGTGCCACTACACCTGGCGCTGGCTGATGATCTTAACTAGGGCTTATTTTGGGGGTAAGGTTTATATTATGAGTGTCCTGAAAAATCATGCTAGGGCTTATTTTCCAGTTAGGTCTTATTTGGGGGGAAATACGGTATGTGTCAGACACTTGGGACTCACTGGGGAAAATAAAACACAAAAGTCCTGTTCTTCGCACATGTAAAGTTATCCTAAGGTGGCTGTCAGGTAGCAGTGCTTAGATGTCACCTTCTCCCACTCAGGATTTGGAAAGACCCAGTGATTAGTTGCATTTCCTCTTGCCTTTTCTTGGGGAAAACGCCAGTCCTGCCAAGCCCTAAGCAGAGATCTCCCTCTTTGCCTAAGTCCCCCAGCAGGGCCAGAACACGGGGCCCTGGTGTACTTCTCCCTCTGTAAAGTGGCTCGTCCCCAAGCTCCAGGCCTGGGTCAGCCTCAGGACCGTGAGGTGGTCCCCAGAGGAGGCTGAGCCCTGCGCTGCGTATGAGGAAGCTTCCTGCCTCCCTCCCCTTTTCTCCTCTGCACTCTGTTCTCTTTCCCTCCTGGCCTTCTCTGTTCCGTCTTTCTTTCCCTTTCCCTTAAGAGGTGACTGTTTCCCCCCAGGACTCAGCCTCAACCCTCCCTCACCTGCACTGGACCATGCACTGTAGCTGCTTGGCCGAGGGCATCCCGGCCTCCCCTGGCAACTACTGGATCTCAGGTGAGCCTGGCAGCCACCTGGGTGGGGCCCTGGAGCCCCAGGGCAGCCCTCACACTCCCTTCCCCATGCCAGGCTTGGCCTTCCCTGACTGGGCCTACAAAGCCGAGTCCTCCCCAGGCTCCCGGCAGATCCAGCTGTGGCACTTCATCCTGGAGCTGCTGCAGAAGGAAGAGTTCCGCCATGTCATCGCCTGGCAGCAGGGAGAGTACGGGGAGTTTGTCATCAAGGATCCAGATGAGGTGGCCCGCCTCTGGGGCCGCAGGAAATGCAAACCACAGATGAATTATGACAAGCTCAGCCGGGCCCTCAGGTGAGGCGAGCCAGCCCCACAGCCAGATGGGCGGAGTTTGAGGCAAGGGCTGTGGCTCTGGTTCCCTGGTGGGGTTGGTTCCCACTCCCCCGTCCTTGGGAAGGGGGCCAGCTCAGGTGGCCTTGCTGGCTGGGGGTGGGGAGCCACTCTGACTCTGTGCCTGCTCTACTCTAACCTCGCTTCTCCAGGTATTACTACAACAAGAGGATCCTGCACAAGACCAAAGGCAAAAGGTTCACTTACAAGTTCAACTTCAGCAAGTTCATTGTAGTCAACTACCCGGTGTGGGAGGTGCCGGCACCACCCTCCCCCTGCCTGCTGCTGGGGGGCCCCGTCCGGGGCGGGCCAGCCCTTGTGCCCATGGGTGTGCACAGTGAGGTAGGCAGTGAGAGTGGCCCCTGTGCCCAGGGCCCCACCAGCACCTGTCCCTCTGTCCAGGAGGCCCCAGCCCTGCACTCCACCTTGAGGACCATCTTCCTCCAAGGGCTCCCACATCCCAGCCCTGAGCAACCCTGGGCAAGGGTGCTCAGCTGTCTACCTGGCACACTCCCACTGCTGGGCAAGGGACGGTTCAGCACTCTGCATCCGTCCCTCAGTGTGGAGCCAGGGAGCGGGGGCTTGTTTAACCCGGACATGGTATGGGTGTGCTGGAGGACAGATGCCAGGGAGCAGACCCCACTCCACCTCTCGCTCCTCAGCTCCTGCCCAGCATGCTATTCACCCATCAGGCCATGGCAGAGCAGCTGGTCAGACAGTGGACCCTCCGGGAGCCCCCAGAGATCTCTGGGGAGAAGAAGGGGAGCAGCGGCCACTACCGTGAGTGTCTAGGATGGGCGGGACAGAGAATCCTTTTATAAAGACTGTGGAAGGCCCCAACTCATGATGTTCTCCTTCAGAATAGTTTGACTCCCCCAGAGTCCAAAAACAATCTGTATTCAGTAGAAAGCACACTTGCAATTTTGTATTTTGATATTTCCCTGGGCTGGATGCAAAGTACACCGGTGAGCCTCCTTTCTGGTCCTTTAGGATCACGTGAGCATTCAGTTGATACTTTCCAGTGTTCTGTTCTGTATGCTAAACTATGATATTCTGTAGCTTAGGTACAGAATAGCTCACATACTAAGGGGGTGGAGCTCAGGCCTCACACATGGTAGGTAAGCACTCTAGCAGTGAGCTACATCCTCAGCCCTTTCAAAATTTTATTTTTAAAAGAATCTCTCGAAGTTGCCTAAGGCTGGCCTAGAACTTCCGGTCCTCCTGCCAGGACCTCCCAATTAGCTGGAATTATAGGTGTGTGGAATTAGAGGAGCCACACGCCTGGTGTCACAGGCTTTAGAAGACTATTTAGGCAGTGATGATGAGGCCAGAGCCAGGCAAGGGTCACAGGTGAAGAAGGAGGCTCAGCTGGAGAGAGATGGGTAAACGAAGTTCGTCCTTATTCGCTTAGTCATTTCTTTCATCCAACGTTTAATGTGCCCAGCATTGTCCTTGGGACGGGTTGCCACCGGGAGCAGGACTGCCTGTAGTCCTGTAGGCAGACTCGGTACTAACAGATCTGCTGCTAGAGCTGCACCCCTGCTACTGAGGGGAAGTGGAGTGCTGAGGCATCAGGGAAGGAAGACTTCGTTGACAAAGTCACGTTTGAGCTGAGACTCAAAGTACACACAGCTGAGCTCAGAGGGAGTGGGAAAGCCCCTGGGACAGAGAGAGGCGCTGGAGGAGGGCCAGGATGGTGGCATGTGGGACGGAGTGGGAGAACAGGGTGGAAATGTAGGCAGATGCCAGTCAGCTTCTACAGCAAGGCAGAGTTCCTGTGGCGAGATCACGGGGCCCCTCCACCCCCTAGGCTGCTGAGCGAAGCCCCAGGAACTTCACTCCAGCCCATTCACAGACTGAAGACCCTGGCCTCCACCCGGCCTGCATGCAGCTGCGGCCCAGACCCTGCGCCCCTCTGCGTGGAGCTGAGGCCGCGGGTGTGGGCAACCAGGGGCAGGCTGGGGCTCGCTGTGCCACCAGTACGGCAGCTGGGATCTGAACAGCCGCTCAGCGCTCCTGGCCCTCCGCCCCAGCACCCCTCCCAGCTCTGGGAGTGTCCTGGGCACCCAGCGCTCCTCTCCGGGAAACCATGAAGGGAGGAAAGTGCCCCTCCCAAGTCCGCACACGCACGCACGCACGCACGCACACGGCAGCCTGTGCTGCGGCCCTGAGGGACGCAGCGCAGGTTTAGGTCACCAGCTCAGCAGCCCTCCAAGCTCCCGGTTGAGCACTGAGGCTCCAGAATGCGGCGGCCGCCCTTCCATCCTGAGAGGCAGAGCCTAGGAGACTCGGCCTTCCTGGGAAGCCGCGCCCCACCTCACGAAGGCCCAGGGATGCGCTCGGCAGGGGCCGCACCCGGATCCTGTTCCTCCACCTGCGTGCGTGGCCGAGTCCTAACTAATTTCCTAGGGGCGCTCACCACGGCCCCAGGGACCATATTAGGGTGCCATTCGCTCTCTGAGTCCAGTGACGTGGTCTCACTGAGGAAAACGCGGCTTGAGGGAGGATTCTGGGGGTGCAGAACGCGGGTTGGAGCCCCAGCTAGTGGGCTCGGGGATCCGGGCAGGGGCGGGCGGCAAAGGGGCGCATTTGGAAGGATGGGAGCAGGCAGCCTGTGAAGGGCCCACGGCGCCTCTCCCGCCGGAGCCGGAGCCAGAGTCTTCGCTGCAGGGCGGGAGTGAAGAGTGGGCTCATGGCAGGGAAGACCCTTCGTTCCTCCCCCCAACACTTTCGTTTCTCTCAGTAGTGGGGACTTGAACCCAGGGCCTTCTCACTCACCTACATCTCCAGCCCTCTTTTCATTTTTTATTTTGAGACAGAGTCTCGCTAAGTCTCCTTCGCACCTGGGCCTCCCCGAGTGCAAGCACCACCACGTCCAGGTCTTTGTGCTGTATTTATTTATTTATTTATTTATTTATTTATTTATTTATTTATTTTTGGAGCAGTAAATCTGTCCCAAGGTGGGCTGGATTCAGGTGAGAAGGGAGCAGATATAGATCCTGCCCCCGCAGAGCTGCGGACACAGAAACTAGGTAAACAGCGCAGGAGAGACTGGGGAGCCCGCAGAGCAGGCGCGGAGGGAGGGCGGCAGGCAGCAGCGGTCCCAACCGGCCGCCGAGTCTGGAAAGCTCCCCCGAGAAGGACACTCCGGAGCGGCCGCGGAAGGAGGGTCAGCCCGGGGATGGGAAAGAGACTGTCCGCGGGAGGCGCAGGGCAAGGCGCAGGGGCGGCGCGCGCTCCTCACCCTCCCTCTGTCTCTCCCCAGGACTCGGCTCTGCCCCCGGCCCCTCCTGGCTCGGCCCATGCTGCCATCTCGGGGGCCTCCGAGGCGAGCTGCCTGGCTTTGGCTCCTGGGCCCCGGCCCTCCCACCCCTGCCCTCCCCGTGGGCCCGCCTCTCGGGGCCCTTCCTGCCTCTTCTCCCGGCACAGCAGCAGCTGCCGAGCATCTCAGAGCCCGACACCCTGCTCCCGGGGCCAGGGTGCTCCCCGGGGCCCCAGCAGGCTCCAGGGCTCCCCCTGACGGCCAGGCTGGGACAAGGCGAGGGGGAGAGGCTTCCGGGGCCACCGCTCAGGCCCGGGGAGCTGGAGGTAAAGCCTGACCCCCTGGCGGGGGCTAAGGGCTGTCTGAACCCCAGGGAGGGCTTCTCCCCAGAGACCTACAGACCGGAGCTCCGGGAAGAGAGCCCCGCGCCCCCCAGCCTGGAGCCCCTCAAAGCGGCGTGGCCCTCGCATCCTCCCTAACTGGCGCAGAAGATGGAGGGGTCTCCAAACTCCACCCTCCCTTGCCCACCTCTTCTCCGGTTTTGTGCCTCTTGGTGACTGGACGCAAGCTGAGACTCGGAGGATTTGAAGAGGTGACTTGCACCGCTACAGAAAGGCACAAATGTGGGGGTGGGGGAAACTGAGGCCAGGCCCCTCCTCTCCCACCGAACTGCTCGTCAGACTACGAAGCCTTGGTCTCCATTTTCTGAGAGAGAGAGAGAGAGAGAGAGAGAGAGAGAGAGAGAGAGAGAGAATGAATAGGGTTTCATCACTCGAACCATCCATCCCATAACCTACCCAGGTGAGGGAGGAATCAAGGGCCTCGATGGGGAGGGGCCCGGGGCGCCCCTAGCAACGCCCTTCTTCTCTGGGCTCCTTTCACTGTCTAAGTTACGGTCTCCCACCCTGAGCCACGCTCCAAGCCCTTTCTTCTTCCCCTCTGACGCTCCAGTCCCCTTCAGGAGCTTCCTTCTACCTCCTTTGCCCCAGGGATGTGGGAGGAAGGGGCTGCTTCCTGCCTCTGTAATATTCCCCGCTGGCCAGGAATAAAATCCCCTCGGCAGACAGTCCTCTCGGCTGCTGACAGCCTCCCTTCCTCCTGCCAGTGGGTCCCGACCGCCCACCGACTGCCGGGAGCTCCTGCTTCTAGTCCCAGACAGAACTGAGCTCCACCCACGAGTACCGGAAGGGGTTGAGGGCTCCAGGGAGGGCCTGGGCTAGGACTGAAACAGCCTGTCTCCGCCCTGCCATCTCTTTGAGAGCGATAAGGGCTAACGCCCTGGCCCCAGGAGCTCGGAGAGGGAGGGAAACCAGCCTGGGGAACTTCAGAAGAGCAGGGGGTCTTTGGGAGCCCCCGGGCCCCTGCTGAGGACTGCTGAGCAGTTCTGAGGGCTGGGGAGAGTAAGGAGGTCACCAGACACCCAGGCCCTAAGAGTAATAAGCTGAGCAGACCTGAGGTGGCAGGTGGTTTGGGGAGTGGGGACACGTGAGAGAGAGGTTATTGCTCAACCAAGGACGTGCAGGCAGCCAGGGACGCTGCAGGAGCCAAGGCCCGGAGGCACACTGCCCTCCCTCCTCCAGGTGGCAAACCACATGCTAGGATTTCTCTCCAGTCCTTCCTAGGGAGGCACAGAAGGTCCCTCTGCCCATTCCTTGTCCCTGTCCCTCCAGTCCTCTCTCGGCAAAGGCTCCCCTTGCCTTTGCTTGCTGCTTGCTTTTTTGCTTTCTTTCTTTTTGTATTTTTTTTTCTTTTTTGATACCAGGGATAGAACTCAGGACCTTTGGCTTTGGAGGCAGGCGAGGTGCCGCTGAGCTGAATCCCTGGCCCTGTTTTTGCTTTTTGAGACAGGGTCTCACTATGTAGTTCAGATTGTCTTTGAGCTCACTGTGTAGCCCAGGCTGGCCTCGATTTTGGGGCAATCCTCCTGCCTCAGCATCCCGAGTGCTGGGATTACAGGTGTGCACACCCCCCCCCCCGCTGCCTTTGTTTTCCTAGCTCCTCAGCCCTTCCTGTGGTGGACACGCTCACAGAGAACTGATGGGCGAGGAGAGACCCAGAGTCAGGTAGGGGGAGGCCCCGGCCCACAGGAGTTTAGAGACAGGCAAGGAGCCCAGCCCTGGGTTTCCAAGCTAGGCCGAGGGCAGGGGAAAGGCTCTATGAGAACGCTTCGCTTCGTCTCAGCCTCCCTTCCTCAGCCCACATGCCAAAGGACACCCCAGACTCTTTCCTGGTAGTTCCCATCTGTCCCCAGAGCCATAGCCCCACCTCCCTCCCCACAGGAAGGACCAGCCCCAGGGGCTTTGCTGTCACCCTGCTAGCGGGGAAGGCAAAGACCCAACACTGTGACCTGCACCAGGAAGCGCTGGTGCTGTCCTGGGGCTTGGGTCCTGCTCAGACGGGCGAGCCCCAGGGCCAGGGTCTTCTCCATAATGGGGACCCTTGCTCGCCCTGGGCCTGACCCTACATCCTCCTCAGTGGCCGTGTGGTGTCTGTGACCCCCGGCATTTTAGGCAACGAAAACGCTTTGAGGTCACTATGCTAAGATTTCCCTCCAGGCTAGGTGCACGGAAGCCATGGCAAATTCATCCGGAAGGACTTGCTTCCAAGTGACTGTCTCTGTTTTAGGCGACAGATCCCAGTAGAGCAGATTTCCCCAACATCCTCAGAGGCTAATTCCTCGCTGCCCTGTGCTTTCCTGGATTTCAGCAGCATCCGGGGCCTCTCCCCGAGTTGTCACAACCCAAAATGTTTCCGGACACTGCTAGATGTCGCCTGGGGGAGGGAGATCACGCTCAGCCGAGAACCTTTTCAGTCGAGAATGGCTTCGCAACCCTCGATGTTCCGCACAGACCGACAGCGGTTCGGCGTCCACATCGCAAGAGTGCCCTCTGGTGGCCAGAGTCAGCCCCGGCGCTCAGCTCCGGAGCTGGCTGGGGCGCAGAACCCACGGGGGCGCCGCGCGGAGTGAAGGCGACCACGCGAGGGAGGAGGATGGGGAGGAAGGGAGCTGCCGTGCGCGGGTCACCAAAGGACCGACTGGTCTGGCGAGACCGCAGACGGGCTCCGGGCGGTCCGGCCCGACGGCGCACCCTCCGGCCTGTGGCCAGCGGCCTCACCTGGGGACAGCGGGCGAGGGGCGGGGGCCAGGCAGGGCCGCCGGGGACGCAGACCCAGCGACCACCCCAGGGCCTCACGGGTCCCAGGCAGCCGGATTCCCGGGCTGCACGAATCTGACACCGTTGAGAGCAGAGCGGTGTCTGCGACCGAGTTCAAAACCCCTAATTTGACGGGCCTGGAGAGAAGGGACTTTGTCCAAATCATACACGGAGAAGAGCCAAATTTAGAATATAAATTTCCTAATTATCAGTTAATGTTCTTTCCACCTCACCATAATCACTCAGCTAGAGAATTTAAGAGGTATTTAAAATTCCTTAGAAATAAGAGTATATTATATGTAGGCAGGGAAGTTTAAAGTTTTTTCTCCCCTCCGGTACTGGGGATTGAACCCAAGGCCTTCACACTGAGCTACAGCTACAGCCCTTTTTATTTTTTATTTTGAGGCAGGGTCTCTAAGTTCCCAGGCTCCTGAGAAAGTGGGACTAGAGGTGTGCACCACCAGGTCCACCTTCTGTGTGACTATTAGTGGCCGCAGTGGGAATCATTTTCCCTTCTGTGTGCATTTGGCACCCAATTACGTACTGTCTGGTGCTGACCCCTAAATGTCTGGTGGGCATCACAGTCCTGTGCCCACAGAGCTGGTACTCTCTTGTGAGAGGGAAGGAGTTTGGTCACTAGAATACTTGATTAGCAAGTGCAGGAGGCTCGGAGAGTCAAACACTAAAGCAAAAGCAAAATATCGTTGTCCAGAATTACTGGCAGTGAGGATAATCCAGCTGTCCTCCATTCCTGAGTGAGATCCTGACCAGCGAGGAGGGAAACCCAAGCACTTCGGGTCACGTGTGTACAGTCACCCGTCGCTCGTGCCGGGGTGGGCGTGCACTGCTCAGCAACACCAGCTTGGTTCGAGCACTGTAGAGTGCAGTGCGGGAAGCTAGACCCAGAGGCTGGCACTGCCCTCAGCCCTGACCCTGATGCGAGAGACAGGCTGAGCTGCCACCAGAGCAGCCCGCACACTGCCCTGCTGTCCACTTTCTTTGTAAATAGCAGAATCCACGGCAGAAGGACCAAGAGTCTAGTGTCTTAGTATGTGACCCAGTGACACATCCGTTCACTATCATGGTTCTGTGCATGCTGTGCATAAGTCTGGGCTGTACTGTGCTCCACACGATTGGAAGGCATAGGTCAGTGCACACCAGTGTTACCACAGACACGTGAGCGATGCCTGGCATCATATGTCACAGCATTGTCAGCAGGCGAGAGGACATTTCCAGCTCCTTTATAATCCTACCAGACCACCACCTCACATGTGGCTTAGGCTGTATGTATATGTAGACACACATAGGAAAACATATGCATAATCCAACAAACATTTATTAAATCCCTACTCTGTTTAAATGGGAGCGATGCTGCCAGGTGCCAAGGGGCAGAATGAAGTGACTGGGTCACAATTTTTGACATTTTAGCCAGGTGTGATGGTACACACTTTCAGTCTCATCTACTGGGGAGGCTGAGACAGGACGATGGCAAGGTTGAGGCCAGCCCGGGCAACTGAGTAAGACCCTGTCTCAAAATAAAATCAAATAAAATTTAAAAGTTTCAGGGAAGTAGCTCAATGATAGAGAACTTGCCTGGCATGCATGAGCCCCCGAGTAAAACCCCTAGTACTGTAAATATATATATATATATATATATATATATATATATATATGACATTTTAATGGCTTTAGATACGTATCACTCAACTGTCCTCCAAAAGGATTATAAAATTTTTTTTTCAGTACCGGGAATTGAACTCAGGACCTTGCACTTTCGAGGCAGGTGTGGTGCCAGTGAGCTACATTCCCGACACAGGATTATAATTTTATTTACTTATTTATTTATTCTGATACTGGGATTGAACCCAGAGCCTTCACACTGAGCTTCTTCTCCAATCTTTTTTATTTTTATTTTTATTTTTGGTACCGAGGATCAAACTCGGGACTTTGTGCTTTCATGGCAGGCGCTGGAACCACTGAGCTAAATCCCTGGCCCTCCAGCCTTTTCACTTTTTGCTTTTTAGACAGGGTCTCCCTAAGTTGCTAAGTTGCCCACGTTGGTCTCAAACTGGTGATCCTACTGCCTCAGCCTCCCAGAGTGCTGGGGTTATGCTTATATTACTTTAAGAACTGCATTGACACACCAGGCATCTCCTAAGTGCTTCAATCTGTTGGACAAGTACAACAGCTTTGGGAAGCCACACGGTTACCATCACACTACAGAGGAGGGCGTGGGTGAGAGAGAGGTGGAGCCACCTGCCCAAGGCCACCTTCCTTCAAGCTCAGGAAGTTCAGGCTCAGACTCAAGCAATCTGTCGCCACCATCGCTGCCCAGGTGCTGGCCTATGGTGCCAACCTCTAAACACCAGTCCACAGGGCCTCAGCAGCTGTGGCCTTTCCCTGCCTTTGGCCTCTTTTATTAATAAGAGTAAACTATTAAGTCATTACTGTCTTTTATTGGTGTGTTTTAAAATAGATGGTGAGAGAAACAAAACATTTTTGCATCCATTTGCTATTTATAATTTGGACTCCCCTGTTTTAAAATTAGAAACCCTGGTATCTCACTAATGTAACATTGAGAAGCTGTTTTAAACTTAGGGCCAGGGGGGGATGGAAGAAGGAAATAGGGGAGTGGGCTCTCTAGAAGGTTTGAAAACCATTCCAGCCACTAGGCTGAATGTCACTCACGTCATTTCATGTTGAGAAGATAAATGATGTTTTTAGGGTCCCCTTCTGGTCACTTGGGCCCGAAGTTATAATTTCATTTAAATATTAGTACCATAGCTAATGAGTCACTGTGATAACTCTTTCATTGTTTTTCCTAAATACTTCATAGGCTTATTCTGGACAGGGCAGCCACCAGAGGGAAACTGAGCAATGTGCTAGTTAAAGTTTAAGGCATTCAGCCAGC